GAATTCAGAAAATACCAGATATTACATATGTCCGGTATTTTCTGAATTTTTCTACCAGACAGATGGTGCAAATACCGGACTGTCCGGTAGAAAACCGGACACCTGGCAACCCTAGCTTCCCCTTGGTCGACAGCCATTTTGTGCTGGCAGCATTGCAGAACCAGGTAAGCATGGGAGCTCGGGTCAGGGGAGCTGGGGTTGTTGAGAGCCAGAGGGAGGTTCGGGGGCAGGGGGGAAGGCCAGGCTCTGAGTGTTTATAGGGTTGCCAGGTGCCCGGCGTTTTCACCTCCTGTCCGGGGAAAAGAAAATCAGAAAATACCAGACATTTTAGGTGTCCAGTATTCTCTGAATCTTTTTACCGGACGGTCCGGGTGAATACCGGACATCTGGCAACCCTATTAGTAGCTGATCTCTCAGTCTGAGGCATACAGATACAGACAGACCTTCCAAGACACAAGAATCAACTCATCACCTTGAAAGAAGTGATTTGTACTACAAAACAAAAAAATTGATAAAGCACACTTGGTTGCAAGATGTTACAGCAACTAAGGAAAACAAATTAAAACACAGACAAGAGTATCTGGGCACAATGCTAGATGGTAAATGGGGAGGGGAGGCATAGATTCACACAGAGCAGTTCAAACCAACCCCCCCCCCCACACACACACACACACAAAATCCTGAACGCAACAACATTCATTTAGCCTTTTTACTTACTTCCAAACTTCTCTTTATTCAGTCCACTTACATGCCCCGAATTCCTTGGAGGCATCATAGTCCTGCCTGGGTTTAAATTATTCTCTCTAAACTCCTGGTTTAATTTTTCCCACACAAAGACAGCAGGTAAGGAATCGATATCCAATTCAAATTTCTACACTCTCTCAGGGGTGATCAACCTGTTCCGGGTGAAGAGCCAAGATCTAGCTGTATCCAGCACAAAGAGCCAGAGCAAAAAGTTAGAGGGGTGGGAGGGAGGGAAGGACTGGCCCTTTAAGAAGGCTTTTTGGCCTCAGCAGGCTCCCGTTGGTGGCTGCAGCTCCCATATTGGATCCGCCATTTTTATCCAGACGGCTTCCCTACCCCGGTGAGCAGTGGGGAGCCAGGAGGCGCGGGCCGTGTTCGGGGGCGGCTTCTCAAGCCACAATGACCGGGGGGCAGGGGAGGAGGAAATGTGGCATGCAGCTCATGAGCCGTGGGTTGGCCACACCCGCTCTATCTCATTGGGCTCTCCTGGCCCTCTGGCCAACACCTTTGCTAGCTACCTGAGTTTAACCCCTTCGTCACTGGTAGCGTTGCCAGATGGTTTCAACAAAAATACCGGACACACTTGACATTACATCACAATCTACATTACATCTTACTTAGAAAATACCGGACATTTATATTTTCTCAATTAGTTTCCCGAACAGCAAGCTCAAATACTGGACTGTCTGGTTCCAAACCAGACACGTGGCAACCCTAATCACTGGGTGCTAGTCAGCACTTCTCCTGTCCATTACAGGTGGTGTCACACTTTCTTCACAGGTCACTTGCTTGTTTAAACTAGACTAAATGATTAATTTCCTCTAATAAAGTTCTTAAACCATGATTTGAAAACTTCAGTAACTCAACTAGAGGGCTAGGGATCTATTTCAGAAGGGAAGGGCTGAGGCTCTGTAGCCTGAAATGTTTAGGATGTCAAATTAGATGATGATGATGTCTGATACTAAAGTCCAAGTTCTTCTCTTCTGCCTAATTTGGCTTGTCTCTTTTTGTTCCAGCACCAGCTAAGTAAAAGATGACAATATAAAGTGCCATTTCCTCTGAAGAAGTCAATTGCATTCAATATTCCCTCTAATCTTTCCCAGCCACATGCAAATACATTTTTATATTGTAACAAGATCAGGCTGGAGGACTAGATTAGAAGAGGAGAGAGCAGCTCCAGAAAGCAGAAAACCTTAATCAGCCAAAGCCTAATTCGGGGAAGCCAGGAACATCTGACCCAGAGTTATCAGGAGCAAGGCTGCTATAAATCAATTAAGGGCCAGCTGATTTGACTTGAGGCTGCCACAAGACCTCTATAAAGTCTTGGGGGGAGAAGGGGATAGGAGGCAAACAGAACGGAACTTGTAACTGATAAGGAGAGAGCGTGAGAGAAGCTAAGACAGACAACATCAGAGTTGACGGACACAGCAGGGGAAGTAAGGAGCTCTGACAGAAAGCAGTAGGGCTCCCTTCCCCAAGCAGCCTGAGAGACTAGCTGGTAGATGGGGAGGACTGGTTGCCAAGACCATGCTGAACAAGGGGCATCTGATCCATACCCTTTTAGCTGGAGAACCAAAGCCCAGCCCCAGCAAGGGCAGGCGAAGCCTGGTCCACAATACCTAGACTGTGGGATAGTGGACTGATCAGGGCTCTGGGACACACCCAGGAATGAGACTGACTTTGCCACAATATGCACCAAGGCATTGCAAATGTGCCCATCAGTAAAAACAAAAAGCCTAGCTATGGGAGCTCTGCTAATCAGCTGGGTGGCATTTGAAAATCTGAGCAGCACACTCACACAGCTTTCAGGGAACACTGCCTGCCTTGATTATCTGGGAGCTCTAAGGACACAGTAAAGCTTGGCCCATCAAAACTGATGGGCTACATCTAGACTGGCATGATTTTCCGCAAATGCTTTTAATGGAAAAGTTTTTCCATTAAGAGCATTTGCGGAAAAGAGCGTCTACATTAGCACGGACGCTTTTCCGCAAAAGCACTTTTTGCAGAAAAGCATCTGTGCCAATCTAGACGTGGTTTTGCGCAAGAAAGCCCCAATCACCATTTTCGCCATTGGGGCTTTTTTGCGCAAAACAATACCGCGTTGTCTACACTGGCCCTCTTGCGCAAAAGCATTTGCGCAAGAGGGCTTTTGCCCGAACGGGAGCAGCACAGTATTTCCGCAAGAACACTGACAATCTTACATGAGATCGTCAGTGTTCTTGCAGAAATTCAAGCAGCCAGTGTAGATAGCGGGCAAGCTTTTAAAACGTGCCAGTCTAGACGCAGCCATGGTGTTAATATTACTATACAGTATTAGGACCTATCTACAGCATCCCAGGCTATCGTGATATTACAGTCGCTACCAACAAGTCTTGGTTCCACTAGGATTTTACATGGAATCAGCTATCTTGGTATGAACACATACTTAAAAAAAAAAAGCAGTAAAAATGTTGCCAAAATAATAATCAGTGATTGATCCAGAAGTTCCACTGTGCTGTTGTACCAAAGATACAGAACAAGAAAGTTTATCTGTGCCTTTACTATAAGAAATACATTTTCAGGTACAAAGCCCACATGACATTGGGTTTCCACTATATTCAGCCTTGGAGGAAGACCAAAACATATCAAAACAGTGGCAGGCTAGGTGTGGCCTCTCTTCTAAGAAACTGCCAGTTGAGAAACTTTCATACCCCTAGGCATACTTACGAAATGCATACTGGTAAGGAAAATTAAGCATAAAGAACAATCCTCCTGCAGAGCAAAATATTCAATGCACAAGACACTGAGTGCCAATTAATAACACCATCTCTTTCCCCCAATTAACAGCCCAAGAGAGGATGTATCTGGGGACTTCATTGCTCCTAAAAAGGACATTTTCATATAAAGAAGAAATATATTTCCCTATTCTTATTTGTAATGAGGTCCGCAGATCCATGACATTGGAATTTTCATATCCATGTCTGTGTGCACGCAGGGGATTATATACACTCATATCAGATGGAAAAGGGAGAACCCTTTCTTAATAATTACTGGGATACTACAATGAGGCGCATCATCCACTGAAAGCAGTATCAGATGATAACAGCACATCCGGCCTGTAGAATTAGGAGAAAGTATGAACAGATGCCCAGGTGTCTGCTTTCCTCTTTTGCTTGTAGAAGGTCTTTCTGACCCTGATGTGGCCACAGCTCAGAGATCAGCTTCTGCCATTAGAAGCTGGAGTAATAGATACGCTTTTATGCTTCTGACAATGCTTTTATGCTTTTGACATACAATAGTTTAGCCATTTGGAAGTGAAAGATTTTGAAGCTTTTTTACCCTTTGACAGTGGATAAGGAAGCACAAAAAACATTTGATTTTCTGACCTAAGATGTACAAGTAATACTGACTTTAAAGGCTCTGCAGAAATCCAAAGGATGCCACAGTTTTTCTGTGAAAGGTGTTGGAGCTGGGCACAAGGAGGGAAATAACTGTCTATGTGCTATGGGACCTGTGGTTAATCTCCAACAATAAAACAGATTTGATTCTTATTACTACTTTCCTTATAGCAGGTGCAGTGGTGAGGTTCCAGGAATAGAGACACCATCTTAGTCTTAGTCTGTAGACTAACATGATGGCTATCAAAAAGGCCACGTTAGAAAGTAATGAGACATCTCCACAAGTGGTTCAAATGGATGACCTGTAATGGCACTAAAAACCAGGCAAGATCCCATGAAAGAAAAGATGCTGCTCCCAAAAAATAAAAACACTCAAAAGCTCACTACACACACACACACACACACACCATACTGGACATCTAGATAAGATGAAATCTTCTACTACACTAAGGATGCTCGACAAAGCAGCCTCCTGATCTCTAAATGTCTGAGCTACTCGACATAACTGGAGTCCATCTTGAAGAAATTCAAGAATCTGCAGATGTATTGGTGAGACCCTTGTTCTGGTACTAATGGTACATCTAAAGCAGACCTGATAAATGCTGAGATAGTAGATTTATTACTGGAAGTTACAAGTGTGACTAGTAGCGCTCTAACTAACCTTGCTGGCTTGAGAGTCTGTTCAAGAACCAGGAAGATAGGCTCAGACTGTTTGTATTCTGATGCATGATTGACCTAGTATCATACCGCTTCTGACTGGAAAGCAGATGGGAAGTCTTTGTATTAGGGGATGTTAGAGTGTAACCAACACACCATTTAATCGATAATTGGTTACACTCAGCTGGCTCCAAGGGAGCTTTGCCAGGGCAGCAAGGAGGAGCTGAAGCAGCAGATAAAAATATAGCTGTTGCTCAAAGGCGGCAAGATAGGTGAGGCTCCAATGGTAGACAAGTCTGTTCCATCTCCAAAGATGCAGTGCTAGTGATCCAATATTATGAGGGCCACAGATCCATAAGAAATATCATATACAGGCAGCTATTCTGATTTCTTTTAGACCAAGACCCAACACCACTGCTTCAATTATACTAGTACATTAAAATCCACCACCACCAAAAACTGTAAATTTGTCTCCTAAAGTAATGTTTCACAATGCTGTGATTCGAATCATAAAGAGGAGTCATTTTTCAACATTTGCAGATTATACCAGCACTGAATAAGCTGTACAGTTAGGTTACATTTTTATGAAAGTCTATATTTTGGCATTTGAATTTTCTGTACACTAATGTTTAGAAAAAACATTTTTCAGTTTATACTTATCTACTTTTCCTTAAATGCATGCCAAAAAAAAGCATACTTTTCCACCAAAACTTTTTTCCTACAGCCTCCAAAGCATCAGTTCTGCCTTCCACCTATGTTTTCTAACTTAGACTCTAGTTCACTTTTAAAATATATTACAGGTTGGACCGCCCTTAAGCAGGACTCTCTGGTCCAACAACATCTGTGGTCCTACTGGATCACAGATGTTCCTGAACCACAGAGCCCAGGTATAAGGAGGTTGGGCCATGGGGCAGGAGCAGCAGGAAGGGCTGGTGATTTATTCAGCCGGGAACCCTGTGTTGGGGCAGGGTCACATAGGGGTGGGCAGTGAAGCAGGAAGTTCTGGCTCCTCCTGCTGCGGAGTTCAGGGAGCCAGCAGCAGCAGCCCCAGAGCTCTGGCCATGGAGGGCCAGCAACAGCAGCCCTGGAGCTCTAGCCCCAGCTCTGGAGTGCAGGGGGCCAGCAGTAGAGCTCAGCCTGGGGAGCCATGGTTGGGCAGGCAGCAGCAGGGCAGGTCTGGAGCTCTAGCTGGGGACAGCAGTGTAGGATGGATCATGTTGGGAAGGACCTCCCCTGGTCCAGCAAATCCCCTCATTTGGAACCAGCCACAAGGTAAAACCTGTATTTTATCGTGAAGAGTTAAAAGTGTTTTTATAAGAATTTTATACAGGTTGGATCTCCATAGTCCAAACTTCCATGGTCTGGCAACATCTGTGGTCTGGCATCCCAGTGGGTGCTCCCAGGCTGGAGCACTCACAGAAAAATCCAGCCCCACCTACCTTCCCGCTCTGCAACTCCCCACCCCAAAGTGTCAAAATTTGTGGCATTCAAACTTGGGGGAGGGAGGGCGGGGGGGAAGGGCATAATGGGAAGGTGGGAATGATCCAGAGAAGAGGTAGGGTGACTGTGGAACCCCAAATGCCTCCCCAGTCATCACTCAGTCAATTCTGGCTCCTCTGCTGCCTCTGGAGCAGAGCCCCGCAGCTGTCTACAGTAGAGGAGCCAGCACTGCCCTTCCTTGGTTCAACAAATTCCTTGGTTTGGGATTGGTCTGGTCCTGTTGACGGTGCTGGACCAGGGAAGTACAACCTGCTGTTGCATTTTTGTTTGGAGAAAAGTATTTCAATGTATTTATATCTAATTCTATTTCTCATTAAGTGTTAAAATATTAAGAAAGGCCAGGACTATGCATTAAGGAAATTAACTTGCAAATCCTTGTTCACAAGAGTAATATGTGAGTAATCCTACCAATTCTGGAACTACAGTACTTGTATGAGTGAGAACAAAAACAAGGATCTACAGGATTAAGCTCTAACACACTGGTATAGTATTTTTAAAAAAAGCACATTCAGTTTTGTTTGGAACAGCTGCTCAGAAGTAATTAAATCCAAACATTTATGTTTTACTAAAGAATAGTTTTCAAAACCTAGTTATAATAGAAGCATTTTCAAGAAATTAAAAACAAAACAACTGGTATTGATTTAAACATCCCGCTCTGAAGTTTGAAACCAAAAATGTAGGAGCACTATGTTATCAAATAAATAAATAAATAAATAAATCAGCATATAAAAAAGTGACTAAACTAGTTTAATTGCCATAGCTGAGTGAAATGAAAAAAAAAATTAAAACCCATAAAATATATTTAAATGCATTTCAGATTAAAAACTGAAATTGTAACAGCCATCTTATTAATAAAGCACCCCTCAAAGTATACTTTGCAGAAAAACAGTCATAAAAGCAATATTTCATTAATAAAAAGAACATCCTGACCATTAAAAAAAAATCACTAAAAATCTATGCTGCTATTAGGAATACAAGTAAAAGCTTTGTTTTTGTATCTAACCTATAGTATCTTTGCTCAGACATCTTCCTTACTGGTAAAAGCAGATTTGCTGAACAATCATGCGGTATTTGACAAGAGTTACTGCTTAGTGTATTTGAGTCTTAGACACAGACATTTCTTTACTGCTTAGCAATTGCTTGTGTAATTCAGACTCTGCCCTAATACAAATAAAGTTAAATTGGACATGCTGCCATTCATGTGGTAATTTTATCTGGATGAGCTGTCCTGTTAAATTTGACTGAAAATAACTGTAGACACCTTAACTGGATTAAAAGAATCAGCTAACTACTCCTCCACAATAAAGCCAATTACTTAACAGCAGGGACCCACTTCATTATCAATTAATCCAGTCAATGCGATCATTATACAATGCACACACAAAGAGAACTGCTTTAAAATTGTTTAATTAACTCAATACTGAGTAAACTGCATAGGAGAAATCCATAATCAATTTCACCAGACTTCATCATAGAGATAACATTTAAGGAGCAGTTTAATTTGAAGGCATATTACTTATTAGCTAACTCTATTAGCTTTAGTTAGCATGGACACTCTAATTGCCAATATTTTTTCTCCATTTTTTCCCCTTCTCTCTCCGTCATGGGCATAGCTTATACCTGCCAGTGTGTGTGTTTGCTGGTATTGCTTATATATGTTTCCCAGACAAAATATGCTATGCCAGCAAAAACATTTTTGATGATCTAAGGCAGGCATGTCCAAAGTCTGGCCCGCGGGTCAATTGCGGCCCGTGTTCCGGTTTAATACGGCCCCACGGGTAATTTGGCAATATCTATCTTTTATGGCCCCCAACGAATCCATATGTATTGAGATGAATACATTGTAAAATCTCAGTTAAAGTCAGTTGGTCTAAATCAGTTATAAATATATTTGGACACAACATGTATACTTGGTGTTATGTTCCTGTTCATATTTTTTGAACTTAAAAGTTGACAGACAACCTTTATTACCAATAATATGTAATGTACTTTACAATGTTCCTGACATATATTTCAGCTTCCTGGATTTTTTTTTTCATCTGGCCTTCAGATATGAAAGGCAGAGTGATTTAACACCTGTTTAGATTTGTCATCCATGTGACGAAATGAAAAGTATGCCGTTTGCAATAAACTTTGCATAAAATAGTTAATTTGCATTTAATTTTAATGGTTCAAAGAATGTCAGGCAAAATGGTCGGCCCTCACGCATGTTCACTTCATCAAATCTGGCCCTCTTTGAAAAAAGTTTGGACACCCCTGATCTACATGTTTTGTTAATCTCTAAGGTGCTGCAGGAGAATTCACTGTTTTTTAACTTTTTTCAGTTAAGGTGCATCTACACAGCAAGGCTTAACTTGAAATAAGCTACGCAAATTGTGCTACATCAATTGTGTACCTTATTTTGAAACTGAGAGTGTCTATACAGCACTTATTTTGAAATAGAGCACTCTTCCTCCGACTTCCCTTACTTCTTGTACAATGAGGGTTACAGGAGTCAGAGTAAGAAATCCTCCAGCTTGACAGTATTTCGTCATTATTTCAAAATAACTGCCTGCTATTTTTTTAGTGCTGTCATACAATCTTCAGCCTATAGACCAGGGCTCTATAACTTGCTCACATGACCTTATCTTTCTTTCTTGCTTTCTTTCTTTTTTGGGGGACGGAAGGGAGACAGGAAGTGTAGGACACAAAGTGACCTAAATTCCATTTCCTACAGTGACTTGGGCACTATGGACTTGGGCAAAGTAACTTAGATATTAATTACAGATGTTAGAGTTAGCTGATTAACCGGTCAATTGATAAACTGAGATAATCGAGTTAATGTTACCAGTTAAACTCTACCCTGCTCCCAGGCAGGCAGCTCCCCTGTGGAGTAAAGCTATTTCCCCAGGAGTGGAGCCAGCAGGGATAGCCACAGATCTTTCATCACAGCGTAGATATAACCCTTGATGAACATGATAAATAGGGACAAGCCAACAAACCACCACCATCTGTTCTTCTCTCATTTACTAGAATTGCTTGAGGGAGTCAACAAAACAGCAGATATAGGAGGCAGTGTTGATATCATGTATATGGCCTTTTAGAAAGTCTTTGATAAAAATTGCATACAAGAGACTTTTGAGGAAATTAAGTAGTTACAAAGCTAAAGTTAAAGTTCTACATAGAGTTAGAATTGGCTAAGACACAGAAAACAAAATATGTTGTGTTTAGGGATGTAAAAGGTTACCCAGTTAACAGGTTACCTGGTAAACACTAGGCTTACCAAATAGCTAACTGGTTAACTGGGCTGGGTGGGGGAGGGGCTACTCAGCTAGGGCAGCAGGCAGGGCTGCAGTGGAAGCCCCAGCAGCTGCGGTCCCACCAGCATCCCTACCATGTGCTGCAGATCCCTGCTGGGCAAGGGCAGGCAAGACCCCAGCTCCAGCAGCTCTGTCACCCCAGCTGCACCATCAGTCCTAGCCCAGCACCTCAGATAGGGGCAGGCGGAAACCAGGCTGTACTGCAGAGGCAGCCCTAGCCCAGTGCCCAGGCAGAGGTAGACAGAACACCAGACCCACTGCACCCCCAAGGGGGACTGCTGCAACCTGGCTGGGCCCTATGTACCACACCGCTGGGGGAGGAGGAGGGGGTTGCTCCAGCTCAGGTGGGCCCAGCCCACCACAGGATCATGGTTAAGCAGTTAAACATTTTGTTTAACCAGTTAACTGTTTTACCGCAATTCTACATGTGTAGCTGTGTTTGTGCATCATCAACAGAACTGTTAACTAGGCTCATTTTGTAAGCTCTTTATTGTTGGCCTGATGTGAGCCATAAAGAACCAATTTACATTTCAGATTCCAGGCTCCATTCAGAGGGCTAATAACCAGGGTTAAACAAAGACGTCATTTTATCTCTGAGAGGAGCAAATCTGATCTAGATACATACATATGGCACCCCATTCTTACAGTCACTTTTCAGAGCAAAGATGTGTTTTAAAGATTCAAAAAATGAATAGCTATAGATAATTGCCATAATTTTCAAACTTGAATATCCAAAGTTAAGCACCTAAATCAGGGGTGGGCAATAATTTTTGACCGGGGGCCACTTCAGAAATTTTTGAAGTGGCCGCAGGCAGAAGGAATGGGACCAGGACACTTCTGTTCTTCCCTACCCCATAGACCCTGTTAGGTCTGGGGGTAGAAAAGCATGTGAAATCATATTCCTCTGCCCCACCCCTGAGAACCACCAACTGTTCTCAACAGGTGATGGTTCCTTCTAGGAGCCCACAGTGGTGTGCGGAGACTTTGTGCACTCCCTCTGCCCCCAGGTCAATCAAAGCCTGGGGGCAGGGGAAGCATGCGAAGTCTCCTCCTATCCTGTCCTGCCCTGCAAAGAGCACGCGGCACCTCTGACTGGGGGAGCACACAAAGTCTGCCCCCACCCTGCAAAGGAGTGCCACACTTGGAGTCACACAGCAGCTGAGCAGGGGGCTGAGTGCTGAGCCCTCTGCAGGGTGTGAGGAGACTCTGTGTGCTCCTCCCAATAAGAGGCACCGCATGCTCTTTGCAGAGCAGGGCAGGGCAAGGCAAGGTGGGAGACTTCACATGCTTACCCCACCCCCAAGCCCTGATTGGCCTGGGGGAGCGCAAAGTCTCTTGATCCCTGCCCTCCGGTGCACAGCACTTAAGAGTCAACTACCAGGGTTGACTCTAAGCACCGCACGCTCCCCCGTCCCTAGGCCCTTATTGGTAGGACCTCCGTGGACCAGATCAACCCACTTGGTGGGCCGAATCTGGTGCATGGAGGCCCTTTTGCCCACCTCTGGTCTAAACCCATATTTATATATAGATAAATGGCCTGATTTTGCAAGAGGTTGAATACTCACATTTCCTATTCAAGTCAATGTGTGGGTGTTACCTGTGAAAGTCAGACTACTTATTTAGGTATCTAACTTTATATACCCAACTTTGAAAATTATGGCCTGCATATTTGATAATCAACTTCCCATTAATTTCATAGAAATTTTCACAATGAAGAGAAAACAAAACGATGTTTAACTTTTCTGTAAAAAAAACCCAAAAAAACAGGAGTGTAACATCAATATATTCAGTAATATTTAAATGCAGCGTTTTCCTCTATTGCTGTTGCACTCTGAGTCTTGCACACAAAACTTTGCTTGTGCAGCTGTACGTGTTCCATGGAATGTATGGAATCTGCTTGATTAATTTCACTGGACTGAGCCATTTGATTGTCTCCTGCAGATTCTGAGCATGGAAAGCCTTTATTGTTCCCCATTATTTTAATCAAGTCACTCCCAGGCAACATCCTGAAACTTGTGGCGTGGGAGTCCAAATTAACAGAATTTTTCCTAGTCAAACAATGGACTCTGGGGAAGTCAGGCTCTTCGTCTTCAGGAATAGGGTTATACCATATTTCTCCTTCATCATCTGCATCATTATCCTCACTGAAGTCTAAAATACAGTTTCTCAAAACTGAAGGGCTTGTAGAATGGTGAACAGCAGTCACAGAATTATAGGTTCTTGAAGGATATTCATGTCCTACAGGTGATTTGGGAGGGCCCTGTGGCAGTTTAGGTTCAGGCAAAGGATTGGATATATGGGTAGAATTTCCTTGCATTTTCTTAGAGACATTTTCTTCTTCCAGATTAGAGGTCTTTAACGGACTCTGATGTAGCCAGTTACGTTTCTTAGAAACTGTGATGTTATCAAGTTGTGGCCTATGGTCAGATACTTCACTGGGCATATAAATTTTAAGTTCTCTCCCACTTGTAGAGGATATGTAAATATTTTCAATTAAATCTGTTATTAAAAGAGGAAAAAGAAATGCTTAGAATAACTTTCAGTTTTGAAAAAAAAAACCCCACAAAACACATATGCTGTCACGTCCCATCCACATTAGACCTTGTCCCACAGGACAAAAGACATGCTGTACGATCACGCACTTAATTTCAATCCATCCAAAGACAGCATGTGTGCATGTAGTAAAGAAACAAAAATATCTTTTGCCATAGCAATGAAAGTGATACTACAAGCACGTTTGTACTTGTTCCACATTCCAAGAATACGCACATAACAAAACAGAATGTGGGAAAGCAGTCAATCTGACACTCCTATCGATAATGAGCATTAACAAACATCCAATATTAAAGCTAATATATCTTATGACACACATGATATTCTTGACTATGGTCTAGATCCTGCAAGGTGCCAAGTGTCTTCTGACAACTGATAAAAGCTCTCAGCTCCCAGTGGAAGACAATCACATCACAGGATCAGACTGTAAGTGAGATGTAATTTCAAGCTGCCAAAAAACTGCCTCGCATCCAAGTCTATAGAAAGCCCTTAAAAGAACAAGGTTCTGTTGCCCAGAGTTTAATGTTGACAGCACTTGTATAGAAACATTTGAGGTACTATTTCCATTTGACATTTATATCTTTTCTACATTGCTGGCACTTGAAAAATACTGAAGAACTAACACTGAAATTAAAATGTAAACTGATCAAGTTAAGTTGTAAAACTGCTCTGTGTTTCAATATCTTAACACTCTACTTCAGAAATGAAAGTGCTTTGGTAGCACAATTAGACTGAGACCTATACACCAGATCAACTTTTTATGCAACCTCCAGTCTTAAAGGTACTGGCTTAAATCAAGTGCACTAAATACAATTCTGCTCCTCTTATTAGAAAATCCATTAAGCAACCAATTTTATCAGTATTTTGATGGTTACTCTAGATTTTGACATACTGTGTTTTGTAAAGAACAAAAGAAACAACAGTCACTCAAGACTGGTTTAATTGTATTAATATTTAACTAGGAATAACTTTATTCAGTCAAAAGCAATGTTCTAGAAATTTAGTTAACGCTGCACAATATAGCTACAGTATTACCAAAGTCCAATAAAAATAAAAAACACTGATTATGTAATTCATGGCACTTAAGATTTGCTTGTGACTTTATTTACACACAATCTGAAACAGATTGTAATTCTTCTGAGTAGCACCAGACATATAAATTACATTGTACTACAAAACTGACTGTTCACTGCATTTATTTTAATCTATGTCATCACTTTACATTAATGTTAATTTTGCATTAAATGCAAAATTTAGACTTCTGTATTTTAATAAGTAAATGTTAATTATACTCTACCTAAGATCAAGATGAACACACACATTTGCAAACAAATCCACTTTCTTTCTACAGTAGCTATGCATAAAGACTGTACATTAAAATTAACAGATTCCTTCTAATTTAAGTCATTTTATTTTCCTATGAATACCCGTAAAAAAAGTATGCAGGCAGCATTTCATGCTCTTTGAGCAACCAACACTTAAAATACTTTTGCTAACTACTTTAATGACTGTGTCTGCCAAAGTATTATTTTGCAATAAATCTAGAGGATTTATAACCGTTGAACATTTAAGTAGGCATACTCTTTAACAAAATAGTGTTTAAGTAGCAAAAACAACCCTGAAGTGCAATTTGCCAGCACTTGTGTTCAGTGGGTATTGTACATGTAGCTTAAAAACTGAAAAAACACAGTACAGTATTAGAAATTACCAATCTATAAATGGTTTACGGCACAAGCTAAGAACCACATCAGTTTTCCCTTCTGAACCCAATATTAGCATTAACTGTGAACAACAATTCAGTCATCCTCATACCGAGTATATTAGGTCTGTCTATACATGGTTTTATTTTCTCCAGATGCTACTATATAGGTGTAAACCTGCAGCGTACAGACGCTGCATTAGTTTAGTTACAATACCATAACTACACCCATACTAGAAAGACCCCATGAACAAATCCACAGTTTTAAAGCTATTATAATGTTTATTGATTTCTCCTGCTTAGTAAGGAAATCTTAATAAAGGTGTGATGGGATGACTTTTATTTCTGTCTACAATACAATAAAAAGGCAATTATTTCAACTTGCTTTTTAATTAACTATTTTTCTTGCTCAATTATTTCTCTTGCTATTATTTCTGCTCCAATTACATTTGCTATTTTGAACATTTATATTTAATATTTTGTATCACTTGCAATTAGACATTACACAAAGTCAGAAACATTTCTTTAAACCTGTGCAGTATGATAGGAATGCTTGCTTTTACATCTAATTGCTGCATTAAAATCTTCAATGTTCCAGTAACAGCCCAAGGAATTGTTCCTGTCTAACCATTTTAAATAGATGAAACATTCAAATACTGCATTTCTAAAACAAAAATATCTTTGTTACTGCCAGCATTGCATACAAATGTGTGTCCTTTCACATTGTTTGTAAGCTTTCCTAATCATTGGAAGTGCAATCTCTTAAAAATTATACACATGACCAAATATCTAAAGGAATCAGATGTCTGAAGTCTGGGCCAAAGCTACCTTAATGCTTAAAACACACATGACACTATGTTCAATATTCCAATTAAAACTTTATTTGTAAGGCTTGCTAAGGAATAAAATGATAAACTGTGTTGGGAATTCTTGAATAACTTTCCATAACATGATTTACTACTGTGCATCATAATTTAAATTTCACAAATACTATTCTCACTCTTATGCTTTATGCAGACAATAATAAACAAGCTTGCTACTGACAAAATTCATTGTCAGTATTACAATCAGCTCAATGGTATACTTCTTTTTAAATATCAAGTCCATCACTTACAGTCAAATGACAGACAGCTGTATTTGTAAACTCTCTGCACTTCTCTTTTATACAGTCTTTGGCCCTAATCCTGCAATTACACATATGCTTAACTTCAGTACCACAAGCAGTACCATTTAAGTCAATGAGACTACAGGTTGGACCTCTATAGTCCAGACTTCCATAGTTCGGCAACATCTGTGGTCTGGCATCCCAGTGGATGCTTCCAGGCTGCATCACTCAAGAGGAAAAGCTGGCAGCAGAGGAGCTGGCATTGATTGTCCTTGTTCCAGCGTATTCCCTGCTTTAGGACCGGTCAGGTCCCAAGGGTGCTGGACCAAAAAGGTACAATCTGTAGTAAAGTTAAGCACATGCATAAAGGATTGCAAGGTCAGAACCTTGATTTCAAATGGCATTTTTATTTTGAATTCTCACACACAGCACTTACGGAGAAACACAGAGAATTCTAACACTTATCTTTCAATATACCACATACATATCTGCATTCATACATGTAATGATTTATCTGAACTGCTCAACCTATTTTTGAAAACAACTGAAGCAATTCATTGTATAAACAACTCTAAGGTCTAAATATTTTTAAAATCTTACAAAACTATAAAGTTTCTCAATGTCAGCTCTGAAGTTTGCAGCTAAGTTTGTAATTAAATTTCAATATACTTATCATATCCAACAAAAAAACAAAATAAGTTATTAGCCATTACAGGAAAAGATCCTAGTGAACATGTACACATTTTGGATAGTCCTAGGATGCAAGTACCACCATGTCTGGGCAATAAGAATACACTATTTGACAGAAATACATCTCTAAGAGCACAATTAGTTCAGTAAGCCCACTGACTTATTTTGAAGATTTTCCAATCCTATTAACTTCGGTAATGATCAGGCTTAAATAAATAGAAGGATTTTACAAATATGCAGGTTATGCATATCCATTACCCTTTGTTCTAAATCAGTCTTATTTATAATAGTATACTGTAGAGAAAATTAATTTTAATTATATTATAATGCAGCAGAGAGTCCCAGTTATAGACCAATACTCTAGAGTGCCAGGCACTGTACAAACAGGACAAAAAGATGATCCCTTTCCTAAAGAGCTTCTATCCCATGTATGTTTGTTACAGCTTTTTTTAAATCTAACTGTTCAAGTTACCTTGCAACATACTAACATTTTACCTATGTGTGTAGAAAATATTTCAACAAAAGGTTGAATTCCACATTTGTAAGCCATATTTTTGAATGTCAGGATAGACAGACTTTCAATTAATTGGGTTATTTATTCCAGGAAGAGGTTGTGCTGGAGAGGGAGGAGGTCAGGCCGTAAGTCGGGATATGCCAAAGCACACAATGTTTATTTGCATTCAATTATAAAGCAAACAAGACTGGGTAAAAAGGCAAATTGTTAAGAACCTGCACAAAATTAATTTTGTTCAACTGGAAGGCAGGTAATTATATTTAAAACCCTTTTCAGTTTTGAGAGATAAGTTTTATTGCTCAGAATAATGAACAGATTGTGTACATCTACACCTTTTAATTAAACTAAATCATTCCCAAATGTGAATGAGTTGTTTAAAATATACAATACTGCATAAAAACAACAATACCAAGAATTTGGGATTGTATTTGTTCATTTAACCGCATACTTAAGTTTACTGAAAGTAAACACAGGGGCTTTTTACAATCAAAAGAGACCGTTTTATTATTTTAATGTATTATAGTGGTTAATATTTATGCAACTATATGATTGGGTTGTCTATAGTAATATAAGTGTAAATGCAAAATTCTAACAAACATATACATCATCTGGGTACGATTTTTAAGGGTTCACTATTAAAGCTACTAAAAATAATGTCTGTTTTTATATTTTTATTGAAATACTATTATGTGGATTCACCTCAATTTTCACCATGCTTTCTATTAAAGTTAAAGCTAGTTTCCACAAGTGAAAAAATATCTGAATCACAAAAAAACCTTTTCATTACAGAAATAGAAAATGTTTGCTTTCAAAGAAATACTAACTTTGCCTATCACAATGTTTTGTCATAATCACAATTCCAGTGCAGTCTGTGACAGAACTAGCAAGAGCAATCTATTTCGAACTCAACTTAACATGTGAGTATTGAGAGGGGAATCCAGGATTTCACACTGTTCCAATTTGCAGGTGGTGCTAGATTTGCAGGTGGTGCTAGATTTACAGGAGCATGAAGCTGTAACAACAATAAACATCTGAAATAGCTTATGCCAACCACTAGAATCAAGAACACTAGGGCTGTGTTATACTAAGCCTACATAAACATTCCCCTGCTGTACCGCAATCAGAGACATTACACTAGTAATAGAGATGTAGCCTTGTTAGTCTAGTCTAGCTGAAACAAAAAACAGGACTATGTAGCACTTTAAAGACTAACAAGATGGTTTATTAGGTGATGAGCTTTCATTTCTTATCTGAGGAAGTGGGTCTGGCCCACGAAAGCTCATCACCTAATAAACCATCTTGCTAGTCTTTAAAGTGCTACATAGTCCTGTTTTTTGTTTCAGACATTACACTGGCATTCAACGAGGCCCCTACCAGACAAGGCTGAACTTAACTGGAGGATACCCAGCACATTCAGTCACCCCTTAACAAGACAGACGGAGGCGGGGTTATTTAGGCTCCTGAGCTGGCAGAGCACAAGTTGCCTGGAGAAGGGTGACAGGCCCAAGTGGCGCGGGGCCGCTCGGCATCCCAGCGAACATACCTGTCAGCAGAAGACTTTGATCCGGGGGAACTGCCAGGTCCTGGCTTCGGGGCCCCCTCCAAGCCGGCGGAGTTTCTGGCCCCACTTCGCCGAGGTCTGGCTGAGCAGGCAGCGCCGCGGAGCTGGCAGAGCACAAGTTGCCTGGAGAAGGGTGACAGGCCCAAGTGGCGCGGGGCCGCTCGGCATCCCAGCGAACATACCTGTCAGCAGAAGACTTTGATCCGGGGGAACTGCCAGGTCCTGGCTTCGGGGCCCCCTCCAAGCCGGCGGAGTTTCTGGCCCCACTTCGCCGAGGTCTGGCTGAGCAGGCAGCGCCGCGCCGGTTTCAGTGGCTCTGGTGGCAGCGGAGGAAGCCCCCGCCCCGCCGCACCTCTTGATTCCCGGGGAAGGC